AAATGGAAAAATAGGAACAAAATCTTTGTAAATAGAGAGGAATGGAGGGGTTGGAGGGAGGGCTGGGCAAGGGTGAAAAATAAGAACCAAGAGAGATTGTGTAAAGGTCCAAATTTCCAATGATGAATGTCCTTATATTATATACCTAAAATGTACCAATGATTGGAATGAGTAATTGATAAAGCAAAATAGGAAGAAAAGGTCCAAAGCCATAGAGGTAGTGGGAGGGGCAAGGGAAAGGAAAGAAGGGAAAGGAAAAATGCTGAGAAATGGAAAAAAATGGAAATAAATTCTTTGTAAATAGGGAAGGGTGAAGGGGGTGAAGGGATGACTAGGAATGGGGAAAAATAAGAACCACGATGCATTATGTAAAGGTACAATTCCCAATGAGAAATGTAATTGTGTTGTATACCTAAAATGTACCAATAAAAGAATTTAGCAACAACAACAAAAAAAAACAAAGAAAACTATTAATGAGCTTTTATGGTTAGGTTCTATGGCTATGGGTCTAGATCTTTACTTTTGAGTCTATGTAACAAATTTGCAAACTATATTTAGCCATTCTTATTTAAATACTTCAGAATATTTTTAAAGTAATCACTATTTTGTATTCTTTAAATTCTCCATTTGACCAGAGGGCCTGCTACTTAAGGTATATTCTTTAGTCTTGTGATGCACATTGTGATAACCTATACAAAGAGCAGCTTTGCTACTCTTTAGTTCTATTTTATAATTCCTTCCTGAGTACTACAAATTAGTCTTTTGCTTTGGGTACCCAACACTTGTAATGTAACTGTTCTTTTTTTGGATCTGATGAGATAAATATGGCAGCCAGCAACCTTTAAAAGTTAATTATTTCAGAAAAGAAATGTTTTCTAATGATCAAATTAAATTCCTTTTATTAAATTATGTATTTTCATTAATATTGAAAGTGAACTGGAATTACAGTGAGGAGTACATTTCACTCATGGCTATTAATCAGAAATGTGCTAATATTGGGTAATTGCTTGGAAAATTATAAGAAGAAACTTTTATGAATTTCTTATCTACATCATCATTATGTCACCAGACATGCTTACTACTTTTAGCATCTTCTTTTGATTAATTTTCAGGAGCTGATGGGATGTTCCCACAAATAATGACTACTCATTCCTTATAAATCAAAAGGGTCCAAAACAGCACAACAAATTTCATCTGAAAATACCAATTAAGTCCATTTCTCTTTATTTCTTGTTAATTGTGCAACTACAAGGAAGTCCTTGGTACCTATGTTAGTATGTTCTGTTGCTATAACAAAATATCTGAGGCAGAGTGCTTTATAAAGAAAGAGGTGCTGTCTGAAGCGAAAGGTTTATTTTGTTTTGTTTTGGTACCAGGGATCGAACTCCGGTCCTTCCATTTGCACAGCAGGCGGCAAAACCACTGAGCTAAATCCCTGGCCCAAAAGGTTTATTTTGTTCACACATTTGAAAGTTGACATATTTTCATTCTTTACAGATCAATTTAAATGCCACCATTTGGGAAGAGGTCTTTTATTATTTTCAGTTAAGGCTGACATTTGTTTCTTTTCCCTATAATGCATTTATAATCCTACATAGCCTTTATTTTGCGTTAACATAATGACTTATTCTTGAGTTCCTCAGCCAGACATACCTGAGTTCAAACACTGCTTCTAATTATTTAATCTACATTCCTGGACAATTGATATCACTTCCTAAGTTTCTTTCACATCTGTTAAATGAAGATAATATTGTCCATAATTTGTAAGACCTGTGGTGTTAAAAACTTGTGTTAAAATCTGATAACATAGGACCAGCACAGTGAATGGTATCTATGTGTGTCTTCCAAGTACCTGCCCACTTGGCTATCTTTTTTTATTTCTTTTTTCCACTTGGCTTTCTTACTCAGCAAATAATAAATGTTTTGAGAACATATAGACATGTTCATTTTAGTCCTCATTTCAAAATGTTGTTTCCTATGAAAATATCTGGTCCTTTTTGCTTGTTATGGTTTATGGAACATGATAGACCTAACTCATTAGAAATAACATAATATTGCCTTATCCTACAAAAAGAATCGGGAAAACTTCAGGAAATGAACAGAAAAATAAAAGAGGGAAACAAAGAATACAGTAGTTGTCAGTTATTCAATTTAGTGGAATAAGTGAAAAATGTAATTCTGCAGTCGTGAACCTGGGTGAAACAGAAACTACAGATAAGGAAATGTTAAAACTTGTCTTCATTCCATCATGTTCTGTAGGATCTCGTCTCCGCCAGGAAGACTTTCCCCCACGGATTGTGGAACACCCTTCAGATGTCATTGTGTCTAAGGGCGAGCCCACCACCCTGAACTGTAAGGCGGAGGGCCGACCAACACCTACCATTGAATGGTACAAGGATGGTGAACGGGTGGAGACCGACAAGGATGATCCCCGGTCACACAGGATGCTCCTGCCCAGCGGATCCTTGTTCTTCTTGCGCATTGTGCACGGGCGCAGAAGTAAACCCGATGAAGGCAGTTACGTTTGTGTTGCCAGGAACTATCTCGGTGAAGCAGTGAGTAGAAATGCTTCCCTGGAAGTGGCATGTAAGTCAATATGAATTTTATATATACACTTTAATTTCTCTTTTCTGAACCTGGCTTTTCTGTCATAGATATTAACACCTAAAGAATAAAACAGAACACTCTATATAATTTTACTTGGTTTCTCCTAAGAAATCAGATTAAAATAGTATCAGTCTAGGTATTGCAACGACTATGTTTATTTTAAAATCAATGTGAAGATTAAATATTAAACTAAGGCAGTGATACAAGATGCTGATCATATTTAAAATTTGAATTATTATTGAGTGATATAACTAAGTGTTAAAGTTATCTATATTAAAATGAAACATTTACATGTAACATGAGTATCAAATACAAGGCATAAGTTTAATATTGTACCTACTTATATGCAAGTCATATATACTATATAAAACTATAAATACAATGATATATAAATTATATATAATATAGTTATCTATATCTATAAAATTGTATATGATATAGTTATATATAACTATAATATAATTTATATGTATATGTGACTTCTAAATATTTCATAAATTTTCAGAAAAACATATATTCTTATCTCTAGATTATCTTAACTCTTTCAGTTCCAGGACGAATTCGGGAATCATTGCTTTAGTATGGAAGGGAGAAAACACCAACAATAACAGCAATTATACTTTAGTTTTGTATTCAAATTCATCCTTATGTAGAAACAAAATATCCATGTATGGGAGTGTCTCCCATTTCTATTTAATTTTGATCATCAGCACTAGCTAAGGATTTGTCCTGCTCTTGGCCTTTTTTTGTTGATTTCTCTGGTTTTGTTTGTTGTACGTTACTGATTTATCATACAGGCCAAAAAGCAATGTTAAATCAAGCTGCCAGTGCTTTACATTCAACACAGATTTCATGGCTCCATTGACTTCATGCATAGTTTCATAGAACACATATGTATTATAGATTACTTTGGTTTACAGGTAAGGATTTGGAGTTACAATTTAAACAATGCTATATAATTTTGATTATTTGTTTTGAGGAAAGATTTTATCTAGAATTGTGAATAAAATGGTAACTGCACCTAAAACAAGTTTGTACTTTTAAACTTTCTGATCATAAAGTAGATTTTCACAGAGAAGTGTAATTGAAAGATTGCAGATACATATGTCTTTTTGTAGAACTGGGGGAGGGGAATGCTAAATTAGCTCCTGGTGTCATAACTTTAATAAAAGTTGGTACTTGTAATCACACAATCACATGCTACAGGGTTTCTCACTGTGTTACTCAACACATATATGTGTACTGAAATTCTCAAAACTCTTTCTTTGTCTTTACATATGAAAGCATGTTTTGATCAACAAAATTGTACTATTTCTATTCAGCTATCCCAGTTAAAGCTGTCTTCTGATTTATAGGTTTTACTAGGAAACCTGGAGCCCATGGATGCTTGAAATGTATAGCTCTAATAGTAAAAAAATCTCAGATCCCTTGCAAGCACAAGGTCCTGAGTTTGATCCCTGACACACACACACAAAATCAGATTCCAATTTTTTGTGAGATCCATAAATAGTAAAACCTTAGATAGCAAAGCCATTTTGCAGGGGCACCAGGTCTTTCCTTTTTTAAAAAAAATAAAATGATACTTCAACAAAAATTTAGATTAAATTCAATTTAATGATATTTGAAATATCCAAACAAAACATCAAGAGTGCAGGTCTCCTAACTTTTTCATTTTTTACTTGAAATATCTTATTTCTGAAACTGTTCAAACACAGTGAAATATTTCAGTACCAAATTCTTGTGTTATATTACAAGAAACACTATATAAAATCTGGCCTATTCTAAATAAATGAAGTTTTGTTTCTTCACAGTTTTTTCTTTCATGTACTTAAAACATCAAATAATTGTTTTTAAATCCTTAGCTAATTATGCTTACCAAAGTTAAAGTTATCTAAATTGGTCAGTCATTTTATTATAGGGCAGTTATAAACATTTTTTTTCTCTGAGTTTTAGCTTTGTTAAAATTGCTTCCAACACACACGCATCTTTTATTTTTATTTCACCTAAAGGAATTACTGTCTTTCCTAATTGCATCATTAATAATGAATCAAACTGTTTAAGAAGGAAAATTTTAAACCACGATTCTTTTTCATGTAATGTGACAGTAGCATTATTTTATTTTCAAATAAATGAGCTCTAAGAAATGTTTGAATCACTTGTGATGGAGAGAGGAAAACAAGAAGGCTTCCAAATTGGATTTAGCTAGTGAATAAAATTCTTTCTTCTAAGGCCATGTCAACAGTTTATGTCATTTGAGGCAGCACAAGATCAGATAATATTCATTTGTATGTTGCTCTTCTATTTCCATTACCTCATCATTCCTTTTTAATGCATTTCATGAAACATATTACTATGGAAATGTATTTCTAAGCCTTGTGATCTTTTCTCACATTCTTTTTTTTTTTTTTTTTTGTACTGGGGATTGAACTCAGGTCCTTGCCCTTGCGCAGCAGGCAGCGAAACCACTGAGCTAAATCCCCGGCCCCCTTGTGATCTTTTCTTACCTATTGATCTTGTCTTACATATTGTGATCTTGTCTTACCTATTGGAAATGGTTCAAATCATATTTAGGATTTATAAATTATATCACTTTATAGTCAATTTGGGAACATAGAGAGTGATTCTTGGATATATAGAACTAGTGGAAACAAGCGAATGTGGTCAGTTTGGCTTATTATTTGATGAATGAGACATTAAAGCAACCAGTGTTATTTCCATTGAAAAAAGAGCTTCTGGAATTGAGAGATCTCTTTTCTAGGTAGAGGTGGAAGGCATAGGAGTAGGTGAGAGCAGAGTTGATTGTCCAGCCCAGCTGTGTTTAGACAGGCGTTAACAAAGCTTGACATCGTTGCTTGAAATACCAGTACCTAATAGAGAGCTAAGGAAAAAAGTACGAATGCCAGAGGTTTGGGCTCAGAAGACAGAGTGAGAGGATGTGGGCAATGAAATGACAAGAAAACAAATCCATTTAAGAAAGAGGCTGGCACCATGTTCATGGGACATTATTGTCAAATACAAAGTAGCTGTGGGCTCTGGCAGTGGAGAGAGAAAGCAGCTGAGAAAATGTAGATGGTGGAGTTGGAGTGGCAGATTATACCTGTTCTTTCAAGAATGTGCTCTAAATCGGGTGTGGGAACTAGAACAGGCTATTTGAACATCTGCATTATTGTCATGTGGGTCAGATGATTCTGTATGTGGGAAGGGGGCTTTTATTCTGTATTGTAGGATGGTTAGAAGTATCTTTGGCCTCTGCCCATAAGATACCAGTAAGACTTCTGGCCAAGCCCATCCTGACAACCACAAATGTCTGGTGTAGACATTGCAAAATATACCTAGAGTACAGTTAGATAAGAACCACCGAATTAGTTGTGTCTAAGTTGTCAAAAACGTATCCATGCCAGGTGTGATGGTGTAAGTCTGTACTCTCAGCACTCAGGAAGCTGATGCAGGAGGATTGCTAAGAGTTTGAGACAAGCCTTGACTACATAGTGAGTTCAAGGCCAGCCTGGACTACAGAGTGAGACCTTGCCTCATAAATAAATAAATAAATAAATAAATAAATAAATAAATGCATTCATAACTAGGAAACTTGTCAAAGCATTTTATTATTAAATGATTACAGATTTTAAAAATAGTGTTTGACACCCTTTGCTTCCCCCTTGCTTTTTAGTGTAATTACAAAAACATTGGATGCTGCTGTAGTATAAAATACAAAATTTTATTGAGAACCATCTATCTTGGTTGTGCAGCAATCAGCTTGCTATCTTCTCTGCTATATTTTCTTTTTGCTTAATATATATTTCAGGTTTATGTAATGAAATAATACAGTACAGGACCAGTGATTGCAATGGAGATTTGAATTACCTCATTATTGCTTTTTGTTTTCTTTTTTTTGGTTCAGAAAAAATAGCAATTGAGAAAGAGCTTTCAAATCACTGAAACTCAAGAAAGGTCTTTAGGCAAGAAGTGACTTTTAAAGAGTTAGAAAACAGAATTGAAGGGGCCCCAAGCGAAGAACCTGGCACTCAAGAAGTTAATGGGTAGTTTTCCGGATGGGGGCCAGCAGGAGAGCTGGACAGAGCTGGGACAGATAGGGTTTCAGCCCGGAACTAGCGCGCTGGTGTGGGGAGCAGGAGGAGCACGCGGGCCTGCGCACAGCCAGCTGCCTCTAGAGATAGCAGCTGTAGCCCCAGGTGGTAAATATATGACAGCCGCTTGATCTATCGACCAGGGTAAGAGGGGGTTCTGGCCTAAATGAAAATTCATGAAAATTTGATGAAGTCCCCAGATTATTTTTTCCGTTTCCTTTTCGTAGCACTGTGCCAGTGCAGAGAGGAGAGATTAAATGAGGTGCTGAACGCTTTAGTGGCAGGAGGTTGTGGTTCAAAGGTCAGGGGTCACAGAGAAACCAACCTTTTTTTTTTTTCTTTCATTACTTCTAAAGCAAAACATAAGAACTTTCAGATTAGCTGTAATTCACCTTTGCTTTGATAAATATAATAGCCAAATGGTCAAAAGTTGGCTTTTGAAACAGCTACAAAAGAGAGGAGGCAGGATTCTTAATTCAATTGGGGAATGACAAATAGATTAAATTCTATGGCTGCAGGGTGACTTTGCTCCTTTTGGCCTTTCGGAGTTTTGTTTTTGTTTTTGTTTTTTCTATTTTCTTGCTCTCTGTCTGTCTTTTTGGTTTCCATGTATCAAGACTCATGCTGCAAGAAAGTCACTTAGAGAAGGGAAAGGTCTTGCATTATTGATAGGTCACAGATTGCTAGAATAGCAAAGCTACAGACTGCTCTACAAACATAACGATCTTGTTTGCTTTAAATTCAAAATGAAATTGATGTTTTATCTGTATGAGGAAGAAAGGAAGGTTACAGAAGTAGACTGACTTTAGTGTGAGAGCACACAGATGGCACTGAACATGAGCACAAGATAAATAGTCTCTTTGGTAACTTCAGATTGGTAAGTATGTAAAT